CTGTGCTTCATTGAAGTGTTTACCAAGTGACCCAAAGAGTGACTTCCACATAGGAGGGTTAATAAAGATTAAACCAAATCTTCAGAGTTACTACCTGCTTACGAAGAAACAGCAAATGTTTACACATAATGAAACAAATTCGGTGCTGCCGGGGCCTCCATCATGAATCTGATATCGAGTGTGGATTTGAACGAGACAGAAATATGCCGTGGCCGCACCTTCTGTTTGGCTATCTCCCGGTTTTTCCTCTCCACTGCCGCCAGGATTTCTTCCTCCTCCCCTTCCATGGCCTCGCAGCGAATCAGGAGGTTCTGATACTCCTTGAAATATTTCTCGGCCAGTTCCTCTGGTGTTGGCTTCCTCCTACCTGAGCCACCAGGCTCCGCCCCTCCATGGTCGCCGTAACGCCCGGGGGTTACACTGGTTTGGTTGTAGGCTGGGTGAGCCGCTCGCCCGTCTCGGGAAGCGTCCCTGTAATCTGAGTGGTACAGTCCAGCAGCGGCAGGGGTTGCCCCGTTAACAGGGTGGCCGGAATATTCGGAGGGGTCGTACTTTGGGTGGGACGTCGGCGCTGAGGGGGTTGGGACTGGCGCCGTGCGGCGATGGTTCGTTGCTGATGCTATAACCTGCTGCAGGGTAGTGTTCACTGCAGTGGAAGAAACTATGCAGGGCAAAAAATAAGAATGCAACGTCAGCAACACCATCATCAGTGATCAACAGAAATCAAACTAATGCACATGTAACCTCCAGACTGAGAACGTCCCCACTTTGGTTATTTTGTGGCTACGTCTTTGATTTTGCTATTAAAAAATCCACGGAAAGTAGCATTAGCCACGGATAACAATTTAGACATAAGCATACAAAAGGACTTGAAATCAAAGAACCCTCACCCAAGACCAATTGATGCATTTTGACCCTTTGAGGACGTGGGCACGCAGACAGCCAATGAACTCTACGCACTTGCTTGGTTAAGAACCTACACTGCTTCAAAATAAAACGACTTTCCACTGAGACAATGAGCCAGTCTGCTATATCATAAAGACAAGGCCATTCGAGAACAACACAAGTGGGCAAGTCGGCGTATGGCTGCACTGATATGACAAACTAACAAGCGCACATGCTGCTGTTCCCACATATAGCCTTGGACGCGCTTCAACTTGGGCATGTGCTGTCGCAATATCACAGTGTCTCATTCCACTTAGCAGTCAAGTGAACATAACTTCAGGAGTTTTGTCACCTCTACCATGACTTCGTACCTCGCGCTCGGCAGGTGGGACACTTGATTCTGTCTTCAGCACAGGCCTCACACAGGGTGTGGCCACAGGGTATGAGAACATACGGTGTGTGGTCTGGGGGAACCTAGCAAAGCAATAACAGGTAATAACATTGATGTCACAACAGGTGTGTGAAGTGTCTTTGATGAATTTGCAAAAACTGATTGAAAACTTCCTAAATACCACACAAGCACTTTGCCAAACATGAATCTTTCAACTCCTAAGTTAGCAGCCTGGATTTCTGGTTTTATTCTAGGGGCACTAGTCAAAAGCCATAAAAAATCAACTTTAAAAAACACAAATGTATATGAATACATGAAATTACAAAAGTTAGACTATGTCTGAAAAACTTGGCTATGGCTAATGATGATACATATGCCTATGGTAGTTACCAGCTAGCGGCCATAGCCAATTAACGTCTAGGTTATCACCAGCCATAGTCAACCCTTTTTGGACGCAGCTTCTTGTTGTAAGGCTCCTCACCATTAACTGTTTGCATTTGCTGCACTTGTGGTTTGACAGTGCGCTTCCCTCGACTTCGTCCTCATCATCTAAGATGCTCTTCCCCGAGTAGCCAACGGACTGCATCATCTGACTCCTCTCCTGCCTCAGGTCGGCCCGTACTTTGCTGGCAATCTGGTCCGCTAGCTTGTCAAAGGCATCCGGGCCCATCAGGTCTCGAGTTCTCGGCTCCGACTGGCCAGCGGTTCCGGGTAATCTGTCGTGTGATTGGCCAGCAGTCGGTGTCTTGGATCCTGATTGGCTGTCTGTTGATGGGACGGATACTGATTGGACGGTGTTTTTGGTGGGCTTTTCTGATTGGGTGGAAGTTTGGAAATCCCACTCATCCCTGGGATGTTTGGAAACACTTGATAGGCCTATCCTGGAATCTGACTGCATACTTGAAGTGGAAGATTTGCCTTCATCCCTGTTGTACAAATTTGGCTCAGAGCCTGAACACAGCATCCTACCCTTGGAGACAAACTCCTCTCCGGGGCTCTTCGGATTCTTGGTGGAACCAGAGTCACTTCTCGATGAACCAAGGCGATTCGATGATGGAGGCCGCCCTGAAGAGGGAGGTCTACCTCCAGTGACCTTTGACACACCACTATTCCTCCCACTTGAGGATCTCGAGTTGTTTGCTCCAGATGCAGATCTTGAGTTGCTCGGACGGGCCGGAGAAGCAGAACGTGCTCTCACTGACGTTGGCTTTTTCTTGGAACCACTACCAACAACCCAGGAAATTGTGTCTAGGTGAGGCCAAAAAAAAAATTTGACCGAAATATTTCTTGTTGTTTGGGTAAAACATATAAGTACGTTATGCAAGGCCAAATGCTCCAGAAGACAAGTTTTAAAAAATTTTCCCCTCCCCCAAAAACCTCATCAAGTGTTGGATTAAATATTCAAAAGCTGATTACCTTCCACAACCAAATATCTGTTTTTTGTTACTGGACATTAAAAAATACAAATAAAATTTAGACACTCAAATGCGCACAAAATAAAAAGGTTGGAGGAGCCTGTTGGTGCAAGGAAATTCCAGTACTGAAAGAAAATATATTATGACAGATGTGAGAGACACTGACAATCCACTTCATAAATTTTATTTGAACTAATCACCAATTTTTTTTTAAAATACTGCTGAAGATAAGGTACATATAACACATGTCACAATGACTGCATTTCTGATATTTTACTGGTCCAGATTGTGCATTCAGACCTGTTTTCTTTGGTGGCTCTTTCAACGTTGCCCCCATCTTACTCCCACTGCCCCGGCCAGGCCGGGCATCCGATGAGGTCCTCTCCGACTTCCCTGATGAGGACGCTCTCTGGTCCATCCAATTCTTCTGCATGCGCTTGATCTCTTGCACCTTGAGCGGGGACGAAAGTGAGAAAAAAAATCTTCTTCCTCTGCTCACAGAAAGGTCATTCGATGCCAATTCGAACACCCTCCCAATTGACCTGACTCAGACTTGTATGTAAAAAATGGGTTTTATATTTACAGGTCTATTTCTGATTGTAGGCCTTTGTAAAAATCACATAACTCTTTTGCAAATAACATAGGCTAGCCTTGCCTACATCTTAATACAGTAAAGGGCGCAGGGGCTACTTTTGTTTAGGCCTAAATTGTTTGCTTTTCATGTTTTCAGCATGTTTAGTACATGTACTTGTCATGTTTGTCCTTTTGTCATGTTTGCAGGGATGCTTGGTTTGTTTGTTTTCACATATGGACGCGACACAGTTTTCAGGTTAAAACGGCAAGTAGGGTCCCCTAGACTACAGTGCTGTACGTGCGTCAGTCACTGAATATGTTGAATGAACGGCATGATGCAGACGACGCGCTAGGCCTAGTACTGACAATGTCAATCCCGTTTTAAACATGTGTAACTACTCACTTTTTCGGATATTCCTTGATTCTTTTTTGATGCCATTTTTAAAAGAAGATGGTCTTCCTTTTTTTAATGTAAATTTCACAAAGTCATGTGTTTTTTTCCTCACGAAATCAGCAAAATTTATGAACGACAGAACGCTCCGTCGATTTCTGTTTATGCAGCCATAGTTCCCTAAGGCCTACTTGAAAACACACAATTTCTCGTCCGGTGCTCGTTGCATGTTTTTGTTAAAAATGCAAATCTGAGCTCAGGATATATTCATATGCAAATATTAGGCCTATCCAATCAAGATATAACATTAAATATTGTTTACATAAACTTCGAAGAATTAATTTGAACAAATGAAAAATCTTTACGTTGACAACCTTGTCAATTCTCACTTTGTACGAGACAATTTTTCAGCGGCCATTTTAATTTATGATATGAAGGCGGCCCGCGGACAGACCGAATAAAAAAATTCCCATCACAGCACTTGTTGAAATTCAAGCGTTCCTCAGTATGAGAAGTGGAAAATGTCGTTGATAAAAACTTGATTAGTAAGTAGTTAAAACTGTATAAAGATGTCATCCTTGTTCTCTAGTTGATGTTTAATTGCACTCATCACCTGGATTTGAAAGGAATGATTGGTCAGTGCTAATTTATTGTTGGTGTCGGAATAGTGAGACATGTCATTGATCGGAGTGCACCGAGGTAAATAGGCCAGTTGTCAGACAGTAGGCCCATGGTAGGCCTAAAGTATGTGGTATCATGATAATGCTTGCCTGCTGCACAGAGAGATTTGCTGTTCGGAAAGATTATGCGTGTGGGCTTACTGCCTTTTGTTAAATAACAGTCTGACAGTAGGCTTAATTAAATGTTAGCCTACTAACATGATTAATTATTATTACTTATTTCTAGTATTAAATCAAGGATCCCCCAAACACGCCAAACATTTCAAAAGATCTGTAAGCACTGACAGTTAACCAGTTTGTAGCTCTCAAGCAGACTGAAGAAGCCATTCATGGTCATGCCTGAGGCTGTAGTAAGAGAGGAGACAATGAGAAGCAGTTACCCCCAGAACTGTGGGGTTCGAAGTCCGGTAGAAAATGGGTGTACTGTTGTGAGCATCAATGCTATTAATGATTAAAAACAGTAAAATAAGTGGCCACTTTCCGCCACTTTCCCTCCATCCATCCACTCAAAACTAGGTGGGTGTCCAGTTAGGAAGAAAATGCACCATACACACAGTAGTATACAGGGCATGCAGTGGGTAACTGGGGCTAAATGTCCGAGGGGGCACTCCGGGGGACGCACACACAGTTTTTCAGGGAACTGCCACCAGAAAATAAGCTGCAGCTGCGTAGCTATGTAAACTCAACAGAGATACATGTATTTACAGATTTCAAATGGGGGACCCGGGGGGGCATGGACGTCTGTAGTTACACCACTGAAAGTAAGGGCAGCACAACAGCACACATGCCTCCACGTGCCTTACGCATCCGTCATACGAGTTGGTTGGCATACGTGTACGAGTTGGTCAGCGTACGACTTGGCGCATACAAGTTGGCATACATATGAGTTAAAACGGCATTCGGAATCACATAGGCCTTGGGACTGGAAACCCAATACACGTGTTGACCTACATGTACATGTAGCCAGAATTCGAACCCGGACCACAGAGGTGGAAGCCGAGGAAAAGAACCACTACATGTATCCCAACATGACTCCCCTTTGTTTCCTTTGACAATTTTGAAGGTCCAGTAGTGCTGAGAGCTTATCACCATGTTTCAGATCGGTGAGGAAGATTTCTCGTTCGGAGATGATGAAGTAAGTAAAAGTTGACATTGAGTCAACCATTTTACATCATCTTGAAGTTAAATGGACAGAGCTTCAAGTTTCAAGTTGCACTTCTCCATAGTGTTAAGTAGAAAAGTACACCTAACTACTGTAATACACCGACCTTTGTTATCTTACGCTGATTTGCACTGCAGAGACTTGGACCTCAAGAGCAGTAAAATACTTTCTTGTGTACTGCATGTTTTTGCTATACATCAGTCTGTACTGTTTGATGGTTTGGAAGGCACGAGGTTTTGAGGTTTCATGTAATTAAACCAAACTATAAGTAACCAGTAACTTTTATTGAATTTTAAAAAATCGGAGTGGTTACTCAAGTAATGTGATGCTGTTTTACTTTCAGGATTTCTGGTCAGAAGCCTTGGAAGTTGAGGCTGCTGCTACCGCAGCCAACTCCAACAAACCTGTTGCCAGCTCCAACATCCCAGCAGGAAGCTTTGCCACCAGGAGTCACCTCCATCAGATTCAAACAGGAAGCGAGAAGGCCTTACCGTCCAGAGGTGCAGGTCCATCAGCGCAGGCCCTTGGCCAAAATGCAATGGGTGTTGGCACCACACTGAATGGTCCCCCGGTAGCCAGGACACTGCAAGTCACCAACAAAGACCTTTCCACAACTCCTGGGAATCCGACCAAGAGGAAGTTCTCTTTCAAGCAGAAATCACCACACAATACCACTGTACCACCTGTTAACACCGGTCTTGGAGCAAGCAAAAGGGCAAAACTGGACAGCCAAACTCCGACAACTTTCAACAACTCTCGTCAGCAGGTCGCAAGTGACAAGCCGGGAGCAGCACAAGACCTGAACAAGATTGTGCAAACACAAGCAGGTGTAAACATGGGCAATCTCAAGGCACAGACAACCCAGATTTCAGGAGCTCCAAAGTGCAAACAGCCCATAACCAACTCAAAAGCTACCACGGAAAGACAAGGACAATCGATGAACAATCGGACCAGCGCTCCACAATTTCTTCAACAGAACACAAACAAAAACTTGCTTGACAGCAATTGCAGAGAATCGCAGTTCACGAACGGCCCACTCGCTGGAAAAGATCATCAGACAACTCCTGCGAGAGGTACTTCAAATTCGAGAGTTGAAGGACAGCAGCCCAACAATGCCACGAGCAAAGCCACCGGTGGACTTCCATTTGAGTTTGAAGATAATTTCATTGCAGATATTGACTTATCGGAAGATTACTTTGATTGGAATCTGGCAACTGAACCGTGTAACACCACAACTATTTCAAGTAACACCAAGTCAGCTGTCACATTTAGTAATCATTTGAATCCACCTACCTCAACGCAGAGGCCGCCTCACAATTTAAGGAGCAGCTTCAGTGGGCCCTCAACACCAACTTCACCAGCAGCAAGCCACACTCCTGAATATTCCATTTCAAATCTGAACATGCAAAATCACTCCATAAACCCGCCGGTACACTTGAATCGACTGAGACCGTGTGCAGCCCAGGGAGGCATGCTACAATCCACAGGCCTGCAAAACAATTCATTATCCCGCATTGCACCGTCCACCCAACTAAACAACGCCAGTCAGTCTGCAACCAGATTCAGTTTGCCACTGACTGCTCAAACTTCTCGACCTAGTCTGCTGAACCAAACTCGGCAGTTCCAGGGTAACCCCACAAGGATGAACTTTCAACCTCGCACTCCGTCGCCAAGTTTCTCTGCCCCTAGACCCAGCACCCAGGGATCAGGCCCACCCAGATATACATCACCTTCACCACAATCCCTGGGTAGGGGTGCTGCACAAGGTGCTACATGTATGTCCACTCTGCGGACCCCAAATATCCGACCGCTAACTGCCAACAATCTGACCCCTCGTCCATTCACCCCAAACCCACGCTTCCACAACTCAGGCCGCCCAAGTCAGAGTGGGCCAAGCCAAGGGGACAGGCCGTTCACCACACACGGTGTCAAACCCCAGGGCAGAGGGATGGCCACTCCTCAGACCCCACTCCTGACGTCAAGGGTGGCTCAGCTGTTTCAGACTCCCACCACTGGGAATGCTGGCCCTTCCCGTACAAGAGTGAGAAAGTTTCCAGGACCAGCAGGGGTGCTTCCAAAACTGGTTGGTATTTAAAGCCATTCCATCTTGCCAAGCACCATATCCAAGTTTTCAGTAATCTGTGAGGAAAATCCCCCTGGATACGTTTGGCAAGTTCCCTTATTGTTTTTATCCGCTCAAAAAAAGGGTATTATTTTGAAAATAATAGAATAGGAAACTTCTCAGAAACAGTCTGAGAAAAATTACCTGACATAACAACCTTCGGCAAAGAGTTATCAAAAAGATCCATTTAAATAGCAACCATCCCTCTCCAGCATCGTTATTTGGTCGCTGTTACAGACACAAGGTCAGAAACTAAATGACATCAAGCTGCCCTCTCCAGAAAGTGATCCTGACAAGCCAGGTACAAGCTCAGATAAGCAGGAGGTAAGTGAAAAGCAATGAAATTTTACAACCTCTGTTATTATCTACTGCATCCATTCTGCTCTTAATTTCAATATTTTGTAAATTTTTTTTTTTTTTTGAGTTTCATTTACTTATACTTCCAATTTATGTAATTGACTTGGTCAATCCATCAAACCCATTTCAAACATTTTCCTCACCACCATGAACTGTAGGAGTTTGATAGCTCCCAAGATGTCATTGGGGATACAGATTTCACTCACGGGGCCTGGCTGACCATGAAGGCAGACCTGGGACTGGATGAGGATGACCCTTGCTCCTTGTTGGCCAAGAATAACATTGCCTTGGTGCTGAGAAAGGTAAGCCAATATTTTGTAGTTCAATAGCTTCATGCATATGCATGTAGGGAGGATGTGGTGCTGGAGAGTAAATACAGTTAATTTGGGAAGAGGTTTCCAATTGTTAGTTGTTTTTTTTTTACTGGACTCTTGTGTATTATTCTTGGAGGGGGTGGGAATTGGGGTTGACTTTTTTTCTCCCTGTTAAAAAAATTTGATGCGTGTACTCCATGCACCGTTGCTCAAGTGAATTCTCATGCAAAATTACTACTGATTTGTATGCATTCTGTCCAGAAGTTGTGACATGTACTCCATGCACTGTTGATCTTGTGCATTTCTTCTCATGCGAAAGATGCGACCAGTTTGTACACATTTTGTCGAAAAATAGTTGGACAGATACACATGTTCACTCTCACCTTCCTGGAATCCATTATCTAATGGTAACCACTCACTAAGCTTTTTACCCATTCTGGTCAAACATCGACCAGGCCAGCTTGAAGCAGCTAGCCAAGAACAAGGTGCCCCACCTGTGCGTGCTGATCAAGGCTGTCACTTTTGACGCCGATGCCAGCGTGGTCCTGCGAGACCCGACGGGCGAGATGCAGGGCACCATGCACCGTCGGCTGGTGGAGGAGCACCAGGCAGAGCTCAAGCCCGGCAGCGTCTTGGTCCTCAGACAGGTTCGTATGAAATTTCTGAGACTCAAATTTGATGAGCAGATCTCACTCTGATGATAAATCATTACTGGATTTCATTTGGTTGGCTCCATTTAGGAAATTCCTGGGGTTGCATATGCAAATATCTTTACACTGTGAGAGAGACACAGCAAAAACTGATGTCATTAACAGCATTTATGCCAATACAAGGATGGAAGCTACTCGGTTATTTTTAATCCTTTGGTAATCCAAATGACTACAAATTCAACCCGGCCTTCCTTGAGTTCTGGAAAGTAGAGCTGAGCTTTCAACCTGCTAAGTAAATCAGGGTTCTTGAATATCTATCATCTGATACGGTTTCCCTGTATCTCATCATACTAAGTTAACATCATGCTATTTATATATAACGGTTTGCCCGTACCCAACGTATATTAATAAGCACTGTATGCTCAGTGCTTGTCTGAGAGCTTGCAAAAAAAACCTCACAAGCTTACTCGGGTGGGACTCGAACCCACGACCTCTTGCTTACTAGTGCAGATGTCTTAACCACTCGACCATCGAGCTTGCTGGGGTCGGCTGGCCGGTCCGAGTCAAATGAAGCAGCGGGTACCGCAAACTATTTTCAAGATGTATTTGGAAAAAAAAAAAATACATCTTGAAAATCATGCTATTTATAAATCAATGTTCTTGACCCTCCAACATGTGACACATTGGATATTCAATTGTTGGATTTCCTCGTTGCACCCGTTCCTCATCAAGCCACTTTTTTCCAGGTTGGTGTCCTGAGCCCGTCGCTACGCAACCACTACCTTAACATCACCCCTAGCAACCTGATCCAGATCTACCCCAGCGAATCCTCAGGCTCGTCCCGGTCTAGCCAGAGAACTCCAAAGTCACGCCCCCCAAGGCCATCACAGAGACCCGACAAGGAAGGGCAGTCTGCCGAGGTTGACAAAAACACCCCCAAGGGGTCAAGAAGTTTGGCAACAAAAAGGAGGGATCTTTCCGGAGGGATGAAAAATGGAACTCTGGTTGAGTCGTCTCCAGAAGATAGCGTCGAGAGCCGGAAGAGGTTCTGCAGCCCAGAGCTGAAGACAACATGTACATCCAGTGGAAGCAGAGGCGCTGGGGAAGGCGAGCGTTTAGATGCAAACCACCAAGCATCAAGCAGGCCTGGTGTCAGGCTGGTGGAGGAGACTACCCTTTCCAGCAGGGACCGTAGCACCACAGGCAGATCCAAATATTTGCTGGAGAGGGAGACCACACTCTCCAGTAATGGCCGTACAGTTACCAAGCAAACTTGCCCTCAGAAAAGCATCTCTATTGCCAGCAGCTCCGTAGCCAGCGGAGTCAACTCAACAGGACCCAATTCGGACATTCCCAAAAGTGACGATTTCACAGACCTTCTTGCTGACATCGGTGATGACTTTTTTGACGACTTCTGAACCTTTCCCCCATTTGGATTTTGCCAAGAATATTATTAATTATATTAAAATGTCAATTATGTTATTAATATTTCTTGTATTTTAGTATCCAGTTGATAAGAAGCTTTAGATATTAATGTATATCACAAATAGTTTAATCAATGTTTGAAAGCATCAAACCCTTAACTTGGGACCCCAGGAATGAAACACATTTGTCACCAACACCACGAACTGACACTCGTGCGTGAGATGATCTCATTTGTGCGCATTTTAGAGAACCAAGTTTTTTTCATTTTCACAAACTGGCACCCGGTACAGTGCGGCACTTCTAACGCACACTCCATGCGTTTCCATTTTCACGAACTGATAGTGATCTTAATTCCACTAGTTAAAACAAATTTTCATTAAATTTTGGGGTAAGGCAGCAAGTATATGGATGGATGAAATTCATGTCGGACCTTTCAAGGCATATTTCCTGTGCTGAACTGCCCTAACAAGCTTAGGTGTCAGTTTGTAAAAACAAAAATTAGTCTATTTTGCGTCAGTGCCCGATGAGCACACACTCCAAAGGGTGTTAGTTTGTGAAACAAAGTTGTTGATAACGCGTTTTTTACAAACTGATATTCACTTGCCAATGAGTGTCAGTCTGTGGTGTCAAAGACGAACTATGTCAAGAAATATCATCATATTTATTAAAAAGGGTAAACTGTTCCTCCAAATCTCCTCAAATTACAAAAAAGTACCTTTACCTTCAAATATTGTCCTTGTTTTACAACTATACAAAATTCCTAATGAAGATTTCAATTAAATAGTAATTCTCACAAAGCTGTTTAAAAAACATTAATGATTTACAAAGGATCCTCAAAACTGCTCTGATGTCAATTGTAATACTGAATTATTATTCCAGAAAAGGTATTACTACTGAAATTAAATCCAGCAGGGTCAGGTACTTTGGGATGGCATTTACTTCAATAACAACCGGCAAAATATGGTAGAGGTTGTAAATGTCAGGGTTTTATTTAAACAGATTAATGAATACGGGTTATAGAGGATGTATAAATATACAATTTTGAGGGCTAAGCATGGCAACTGGCATGGAACATAGGCTGTTGAATAAGCTCTCAAATAATGGCGGGGAAATTCTTGACTCTTAGATGGGATGTGGTCTTGTCTGGTACATACCCAACTCGGGATAAAGCCATCCTCTGTGCCTGAATTGTATTAAGTTGGGTTTTTTTCTCACAGGAGAAACTGGGGTTCTCGAACAGGCAAATTTGGACGTGAGAAAAAGGAGTACAAATCTATCGTTCTTTGAAGCACTGTTCAGGTCATTCAGAGAGAGGCTGGGCTTGCAAGGTCCGGCCACTTGCATGGCTTCTCACCTTGGCTTCTCAAGTCGTTCATGTGGTCAAATTGAGTGCATCCTATTTTGAAAATCCGGTCAAATTCAAGACCAAGTTATTAATAAAAACAGCGTAGGCCTATTTAAATAGAAATCAAATGTTAATGTTGAATCAAATGTTAATAATGAAAATTAATTTCAAGTATGCCTTTACAGAGTCGACATGCATTGCAGCTGTGCAGAACATATTCCCGAAATACATGTACATGTATATTCAGTCTTCTTTCATACAATATATTCTTGGTGAATAAAAATTGAAAACGCACTGTAAACCAAAGATCGTATACGGCGCAAGATGGATAACTCTGCCCAAAAGTAATTGCCAAGGGCGCCATTTGAGCAAGCGATACGCCTGTGCAGTTTACGGTAATGCTTGAGCGCAGGCTCACCAGGTGCACGTGCCTGCCCACGCAGGCGCCCACGCGATTACAACGTTTTACCTGTATTGACGGTGAAGTTCGCCATCTTGCGCCGCTTCACGGCGCTATACGATCTTTGCTGTAAACGCATATTTAATTTTGATTCATTGCTTTCTTTGTTTTTTCCCTGTACGACTTCAAGAACCTTTGCAGAAAAAAAACTTTCTAATGTTACATCTTACACGTTACCCTTACAAAACTGCGGTAGCATTTGTGAGCCGCGTCTGTTTTTAATTCAGTCGTTCATTTCCTGTTCTGTTTTCACGACGAACCCTGACTTTCTCGAAATATGTTTGTAGAATTTCATTACACGATGTGCTGTTTGAAGTTTATTCCACGATTCGAATACAACCTTAGTCTTTTCACCGCATACCTATCCCAATCGGATAACGTAACTTAGTTTCTCCAATATTGTCCAAAGATTTTGACTTGTCTCCTGCCGCGCGCCAAAGGTAACTCGGCTAAAACAACCTCGGTTTCAAACAACCCGTCTTCTTTCTGCACCTCCGGACGTCTCCAAAGGCTCTGCCCCAAGTCTGATTTGTGAGATAAAAATGGTAAAAATCATAGCCCAATCATGATGCCACTTACAACGCTCTTAAGATGAGAATGATTGGCTCATTACTTTTTTTGGGGGGGGGTTGTTTGTTTGTTTGTTTGTTTGTTGGGTTGTTTGTTTATTTGTTTGTTTGCATTCCTTTTCTTCTTCTTCCCTTCAAAAGATGCGATGCTTCTCCTCTCTGCGTGAGAGAACACGCCACTTCCTCGAGACACTTGGTTTTCCCCTCCAAATTCACATCACCAAAGCAGGACAGCAGACAGTTTCCAACAGTCTCGTATTTCATTGTTCGCAGCATGTTCCGAATGAGGTAATTGGAACATATCGCCATTATTCAGCACACAGAATTGGCAGGCCCTGGACGAAGAGAGGCGGAATTTCAGCAAACATCTTTCCATCACGATTTAAAAAAAGGATCCTCAATTACAGGTTTCCACGACAGTCGGCGTATTACAACACAATTACAGTAATCGAGGTTTACATACACTTGGACTCTACGTGTTTGATTACAAATTTGAAGACTTCATTCCTTGCAAGGATTATTTACGGAGGTTAAAGTAAATAACATGTATGTACCGATCACCTATAGAAAAAGAAAGGGCGCCCAGAATCGCATTTATCTTTAAAATTACATGTATAACTAAGCACTCTCGGTCCCACTATATACACATGAAATCTTCTGATGAGAGCAATGTGGAAGTAGACAACTTTGCTCGTCGCCCGGCGCCCCAACAGGGTGTTGGATGGGAAGGGCTGATGGCTTTGCACTGTGATTGGCTACGTTGTGCACGACCTGTGACCGCGAGGTTATCACTTCCTGTTAGTTCTTGGTTCGCCAGTGGCATGGTAATGCTTTGGCAAGGGCAAAGTGTTGGCTATCTAAAAACATGGCCTTGGTACAATCATGGAGGAATTTCAGATCATTGATTTCACTGTAGGGCCCTATCTTGTTCAATTTTGGATGAACGAATTAGGCCTAAGTGTTGTAACAACATTTTCAACAATGAAGAAGAAAAAAGACAAAATATCGAATTGATAGCCGCCGCTTTTGTACGGTAACACTTTGAGCATGCTTTGCACGTCATTAGCCGTGACCCCGTGTGACGTATTTCCTTCACTAAAAACTGAGCAAGGCCATCAGCCCGTCCTAGCGCCCTGTTCGGGCGCTGGTACTGCGATCACGGGCGAAGTGGGCACGGTGCTGACGATGACGTAATGTTTTTCAACCAACCGTGTTGTTGTCTTAGGATCCTCAATTATTCTGCGCCTGTGTCACATCACTGGAAGGTCTCAGTTGTGCGCGAGATGAGTGGGCGCGAAATTAGTCTAAAATCGTGCTTATGAAAGCCGAAGCACTGTCGGTGTTTTCCACCTTCAATTTTTTCCGAAGGAGGCATTCAAATCATGTCTACTTTTATACAGACTTTAAACCGGTATAAAAATTCTAATTGACATTAAGGTTCATACACAGCACGCTCGACATGTTTCAAAGGTTGACCTCTTGAACTTGAGTTGACGCTGTTCCGAGCTCTGCGATTGATTTCACCATTTCCATTTTTGAGTGTGCACCCTTGCTGTTTATGTATTGCAGCTCACGATCGGTCTACTCGTGTATTTGCAAATTTGCAATTCTGCATATTGACCGGTGTACACTGCACTGGCTAAACTGTGGGCAGGTGGTTGGTTAATGGGGGATGAGCACTCGCAACCATACTACCGCTGAATTCCGCACAGGCTCGGCTGGCTCTTTTCTGTGGGGGTGTGGGAGCTCAATTTCCTAGGCAGGGCCCATAAACAGACCGGGAAAGCCTCCTTGCGTGTAAATTTTAAACCTACTGCGATCATCTCGAGGCGGATTTGTCGCCGTTTCGTTTCTGCTCAGGCCGCTTGTAGCCCTGCGCCAGTGCAGACGCCGGTTCGAAATCCCACTTCGTCTGTGAATCCCCCCACTCACGAGATGCACAGTGCACCCATAGGCAGAATATACCTTTCGAAATGAATGATGATGAAACACTGCCCGGTGGATTCAAGGTTAGAGGCTCTTTGCGCTCGCCTCTTGTTGGGGGCACATTTAACGCTTTTTGTACCTTTTCTACCCTCTCCCGTCTTACCAAGTACTTCAGGGTTTGGTTGTTGGGGAAGTCGGAAACACACCTCCAAATCCGCTTCCTCAGTTTTCTCGGCACAAAAAAAAGGTGGGAGGATGATCCCAAAGTCCATCCCACCCCTCACAAAGTGTGAGGGATGTACACCCCCCATCTCCCTGTCTGTCTCTCACCCCGCCCCCCTCCCGGCCGTTTACGCAGTGCTGTCAGTTGACGCGCGCATGGCGCTGTCGTTCGAGATTGTGACTGACCTGCACACCAAATATCGTTTCTTTTGTGTGCAGCATTTTTTTGGTGTGTCTCATTCAAAGGGCAAGGACTGTGAGAAAATAATGGTCAGCCTCTCAATTTCCTTTTCCATATTGGCTCATCGCTGGCGAGATTTAGCCGGAATCCATTCTGTAATTAAGATCGTGACGGCGGCTGTCGAGGGATGTATGAAGCCAGCGAGTCTTGTCTCAGGCTTTCGATTCTTATGAAATTCGCGGAAAGGCTGTCTACCCGAACCTTCTGAATCCTGACGTAACTTTTAGGACAGAACTGTAAACACATCATATTCAGAAAACTCAAAGACATTCGGGTTTTTTTTCTCTCGATTGTCTTTAAGCTAAAAGCTGAAGCAGATTACAAAGCTAGCCCCCCCCCCAATCTATCTCTAGGGGCTTCGTACGCTAGTTGAGGGACACACAATGTTCCGAGTCGTCTACTCCTGCAATGGGGTTTTACCCTCCGTTAATTACACTCCCTCGTCTTATAAAGAAACGTCCATTTAGAGCTCTACAGACTAAATACTCCAGAACCCAATTGTTCTCCGAGCGTTACACAGCCGAAATTGGTCGATTTTTCTTGATTGTCCCAAATATCCAAACAGATAATTCCTTCGCGTAATTACATTTACATATCTGTCCATTTTTATGTCGGTATTTTAAATGTGAGGTGTCGGCAACCGTACTAGCTCTTCTTTCTTTGAAGGTGAAGGACTAATATACACTGTACTGCCCCTGCTGATGAGCAAATGGCACATACATAGGCTTACGCTATGTCTACATCTTTCAAGGACTCAACAAAATACATCATGCACCCTTCGGGCGTGTTATAGCCCGTTATATAGTATACAGAATCCACCCTTATCGGAAAACTTAATACCCCAAGGCGGTAGAGGCAGTGCGACGTGAATGTGCGGCTTGCCTACAGGCCTTGTGCCAGGCAGTGTGACCTCGGTGGGATTTGAACACGAACTTAAACCCAGGCTCAACGAACATCGGGGGAACTGATCGCTCTATGCGTGGAGGAATAAAAACACATGTGACCCAATTGCACTGGGGGAAAAAAATGTTTCTCTAACCTTTTGAATTCTCAAAAATGATTGCTGCCCCACGGGGTGTGAAAAATAGCACCCAATCGCTTTACCCAACGCAGAAAAAACAGAACACTTGACACGTTTTTCCGCATATACTAGCTGTCAGGACCCGAAGGGCGAATTCAGATCAAAGTCATCCGTTCTATTTATAAGTTGTTTCTTATTTCATCCCCGGGATGTTTGCCATCAAAACAGCTTCATGTTTTTTCTCTTTCTCTTCGCCAGAGAGAGAAAAAACAGCGCCACGCAGGCAGGATTAACATTGTCTTACGCTGAGTAACATGCCGCAGACATGTTCAGTCCGACCGTGATCATTTCGCTTATTAATCGATTCGGCTCATGTTACACTGGCGTCTTGGAATAACTCGTCAGCGCCGGTTGCACACAGATGTGTTATTTTTTGTTTTCCGACAGAAACATTTCACTGTTCACGACAGACCCGGTGTTAGTTTATGACCTATCTATACACGCAGTGTATTACAAGGAGCTTTGCGATTTATCTGCTGTTTGTTTTTATGTCAACAAACACGTTTAAGGTTGCGGAGACTTCTATTTATGTATTTCGTTTCTTGATAAATACCACTATGTTGATATAGGATTAATATTTGACCCTGGTGAACGAACGACTTATGCAGTGATTGAGAATTACCAAATCGCTTTTTTTTATTAATTAACATCGCAAGATACTGGTACATATATACTTTGGGAACGGTGGTTCAGCGGGGTCAGCACGAGTGTTGAACACCTCCAGTCTCGGTGGGCAGGGCAGATTCGAGCATACCAACCGATCGCAGCCACAAGGTTGAAGCCATTTGACTGTTGACTTCGTGTCTGTCGTCAAACCAATTAGCAATCACGACGGCGCGAACCTGCCCAT